ATATATATATATATATATATATATATATATATATATATATATATATATATATATATATATATATATATATATATATATATATATATATACACATACATACATATTTAAAAGCTGAGTTTCTAAATGCATTGATCTTATTAGGAAATGTTGATAGCATTTTGAAGAAAGTGCATCATTACTATACATGTCAGTGGAAAAATCCAAAGAGACTGCAGCGATTAATTAAGATTTATATTAGTTTTGGATTTTAAAAAAGTTTCAAACCAGTCTCAAATAAGCTCTCTTTAGTAAACTATTTCTTTTGATTATTCCAACAGTGGTTATAAGAAAGCGAAAGTATTAACATAGTTTCAATTAAGTTTCTAAAGTACCCATGTTGCATGTAAAACAATCCTTCTGTATGCTAATTGGTCTTTTGTCAATATAAATCTGGATACAGAAGACATTGAATTTAATGACTTGCATGGCATTTATGCTTGTCTGAGATTAAATAACTATTACTTCGTTCTTGACTATGTCAAACAAAGTTTTGATGCGATAATGATGCCGTACATTTTTTTTGTTGTTCTTTAAACTGTGATATGCAGGGCACTCCTGGAACTCCTTCCTGCATTCAATAAACGAATGAAACTTTTGCACTGCATGAAGTATGTGTCACATTCCTTGTTTGCTCTGTGCTTTGTATCATTCAGCTGCTTCATCGATTTTGCTTGATGATATTTCAAAGCAATTCCTGTGACCCTTTGAGAACACCCGCATTAAGCATTGTATAATATTTTGTTCATAGTTTGAAAAATGCCAATTTTATGGTTATTTTTCTTTGATGCAATTTACTGTGTATTTCACAAAGAACAAAGATGTCACTACTGACATCAGTTGTTTTAGTTTGCTAAGTACTTTATAATTACAGAGTTTGCTTTCTTTTTTAATGAAATTATTTGATTATTTTCCTCAGTTGTTACAATGCTGTCATCAGTAAGTCGAGGCCACAAAATCTTCTTAAGTGCCAATGACGTAGATTTTACTTTATTGTCTGATTGTTCCTGTCATTCAGTCAAGAGGAAATGGTAATTACCGGATAAAGTATGACGAGAAAATGATCAGTGTGAGAATTATGAAAGAGAGGTCAAGTGTAGTGATCCAATTTACAACCAGTACCTGTGAAGATTAAAGGGAAAATTCTTGTACAATAAATTATGTTTTCCAAAACATCTAATGAACGAGTAAACGTTCTACTACTAACACAAAAGGAGCCCAAGTGTTTGAAGGATTGGCCAAGAGTTAACAAAAAATTATCTTAACAAATGAAGGATGCTTCTGCATAAATTTGTAAACATGCTTTGTTTTGTGTCGCTACAAACCTAGCTCTGTGGATGCAGCTTGTTTTATAAAAGGTACCTTACATTGACACTCATATTAATGATTGTTACGAAAGTCGCGAGAGGACCAGCATGGTTTAGATTGTGATTTTAGTGGAAATAACATTTCTTGGTCACTGAGCTGTGGTTTGGATGTGCTTCGATCATTTTAGGTCACTGGTTGATCATTGGTCTGCCATTTTGGTGTTATGTTCGTGGTTGTCTGGTGTTATTGTTGTGATTAAGATATAATGAAACCTTTACTTTTGTTAATAAAAACTTGGAAGATGGTAGGTAAATGAGTATCATTATACACAAGCCGTCAAAAAGGATTTGACACTTAGAAAGGGAAAAGTTTATAAACATATTATATTCTTATATGAATGAAATAACATTAATTCAAATGACAAATACATTTCTGAAATTTATATTCAAGTCTGGTATGAGTAAAACTATTCCCATGCGTAAACAGAAATATCCTTTTTGTCTGACTAGTTTGTATTGTCCGCAGTTTGACAGTGTTTTGTGTATGTGTTTAAGACGCTGCTAGTACTATGGAATCCGTGACCAAATGAGCCAATACACTTTTATTGCACCGAATGAATTCTCTAAGAAAGTCATGAATATATTTCTTTAAAAGCCTAAATAAATTAAAACATATTTATTGAATTTACCCTCTTGGCGATTTGTCCGTTGTTTAAATGTTATTGCCTTAATTCGTTTCGAATACAACTACTTCAAAATAATGTAACATAGCATATGCGTAGTTTACATATTTTGTCCAAGGAATAAGGAACCTAATTAGTGTAGTACTGCTTTGAATGGACTGCCGAAAGCTAAGAGCAATTTAGCCGAACATTTTAAAATTGAAACTAAGTGTAGCAAAATATGTGCTGACTAAAAATGTTTGACGAAATAAAAAAATTAAAGGGAATGTCGGCTTAAAGGCTTAAACATAGTCGACATGAAATTATATATTTAAGTTGCAATGAACTGAACAGTAATGTATACTTCTATCAAGTTTACTTTAGGGCACAATGATATACACAACATGATTAAGCGAATGTATACACTGGCGTTGAAGACACATATTAATAATGGACTCACTGTGACCTTGACAGGTAATTATATAATTTTAAACTGTACGTGTTTTGCTAAAAGCTACTCGGAGCTGAACATTTTGGAATAAAGAACTCTTCTCTCTGTGTATATTATTTAAATTTTTAAACGATTGTAGTTTAATTTTAAAAGAAATTAAATATGATTATTCACCAAATTGCTATAATTTCAGACACACCAATCTATTTATTGATATAAATAACGATTGCAATTTATTATGTCTATGGTTCTCTGCGAATGCTACAAAGAAGTCTTGATTGTGGGTGTAAGCTAATGAAATTAAACATTATTGTTTCTTAGAAGTGTGAAAGAAATTCGAGAACCTTTTAAGATGCCAAAGTTTGAGCTTGATTGAAACAAAAGTAAATATAACACCTATGGAACAAGAATGTCGTTTAATCGCATTTAGTAAGAACTAATTCCAAATAGAAAGGAATAAAAGTCAGTGGATGCCAGTTGCAGGACAAGTATAGGTACACCATGTCAGAACTGTGTACATTAAACTTGGTTTAAATTATAGAGCTTAAATAATTGGAAGGTCTCAAGGTCAAATGAAAAGACTTACTTTGGATAACTGCGTGCAAAACATTGAACCAAATGTGTTCATCCTAAAAAGTTGAAACTGCACTCCAGACACTGAAAAGGATGGACTGAAAACTAATGGCTTTTCCAACAATAAATAGTCAAGAAGACAAGTTCAAGCTTTTAGTCACGGGCAATATTTTTGCTGTATTTTAAGCTGTGTGGATTGTTTGACATAATCACATATGCAAAGAAGACAAAAACGTATATCCATATCAAATTCAACCTGTACGAAGGGCCTAAAACAAAAATATATTTACTGTCTTTCATTAGATTCAAGTTAGGGCTTTATATAAACTTTTAGATGACAGCATTCTCAAACATGTATTTGGTAAACTAAATCCATTTTATTTAAATGTAAGATACTTTACTCTAGGTTGTATATAGTAAGAAAATTTGCTTGCAGAAAAGTTACAAAGAATTATCAATGTACTATTCAGCGTCTTGAACAGGTCTAAACCATTTTCACGATATTGTTAAATTACTAGGATTGGTTGATTTTTAATTATAATTTCGTATGTAAAATACAACAAATGATTCCGATAAAACAACAACGATTAACTTATAAGGTTCGACAAATTTACGTTCTCAATGCCATGCTTGTTTCTATTCAGCTGCGCAATTAAAATAATAAATGTATATCGGGCTTCCACAATATCAATTTCTCTAGAGCTAGGTCAGCAGCTAGAGTGTACACGAAATGTCAAATTGCTTGGAGCTGGAAGCACATTACTAATAGCAAAAACAGCCTTTTCATTAATGTGTGTATTATACATGATATGAATAAGCCGAAACATGCCAGTTGTTGATTAACATCACATTGTCATTAAATTTACGTTCATAGGAGGTATTATAAAAACACTACAGTTCTTCTGGAGCGATTTATTCTGAATTTTATGTCTATATATTTCGTTCAATGTTTTACGGTAAAACGAAATCTGACAATGTGAAATATAATTACAAAATTGATTATCTTTTATAGCAGTAGGCTGAACATATCGATTTGAATTAAAATTTTCACACCATAATGAAAATTGAAATATATTAATTCAAATTTAAATAGTTTGAACGGTTTTAGCTATTATACCTTATAGTAAGGATTCAAATCAAAATTAATAAAAACAGGATAGAAACTATATATTTCAGTCCTAAAGTAGGAGAAATGGATTGTTGCAGCAGGTACAAAGGTCAACGTGAAGAGCACTCGTCACACATAATCTTTCATTCAAATGTAGTTTCAATAATTCCTGTAATTGCAATCTAATATTACTTATCAGCACTTGGCAACTAGTTCAACCCTGTCATACTTGATAGAAAAGCTGGACTGGCTTATTAGCAATACAGACAATGATTGCTGAAATTATATCACCCTTGACTTTTATTTGGGAGCCACAAATCGGACATTTGTTCATATTCTCCACTGTTCTTGAATTCATCCAAAATCTGTTCATAGCTAATAAAAAGATAGTATTATGAAATTTAACAGGCAGAGTCATTTTCTTAAAGAATCATAACAGGAAAAAAACCCAAACAAACAAACGTATCGTCCATAAAAGAGTGAAATAAAACGTAGGTCTCTTTGGGTTAAGCCCTGGTAGATCTTTTGCTCAAAAGTAAACTTTCGACTATACACCAATGGCGCAATACAAACATACAATTAGTTTCGTACCCACAAGAGACAAAATGTGAATGTTGTTAATGTAAATAAACTTATCACTTTGTATGTGCTCTTTTTTGCGCAGATGATCATGGAATTTACAACCTTAAAGGCAATGGCATACGTAAGTATGACATTTGAGTATTTCACAATATGAACCGATATGTATAGTCATCTATATTTTCTATTTTTATAATAATAATTTTAAATATCACATTCTTAAAAAGAAGAGTGATTTTAGTTTGTATGTAATAGTGATCATGATAATACATCTCAATAAAGTTTCAGTGGCCTAAGTGGTTAGAGCGTCCGCTTTGGATGCGGGAGGTCGCGAGTTTGAACCCAGGACCAGTAAAATCAAAGATTTATAAAAATGGTACTAATATCAGCCTAGCTTGGCGCTCAGAATTAAGAGGTGATTGTTAGGACTGGTCGGTCTGGCGTCTGGAAAATGTGACGGGGTGGGACAGATTGCTACCTGTCTGTGGCATGATACCCCAGTGCTACGTATCACTATAAACTACCACGCTGCAGACATTGTAGCGACATCATTGAAATTTTTTAACAATCCAAATTTAAACACACACACACACACACTTGTTCTTATTAGTCAAATCAATAACTTCGTTGTAAAGAAACTTTTCACCAAAAGAGTGACCAGTGCACGTCTTTAAGCAAAGACTTAATAGATCATGAATTACACGGAATCTTCGTCAAATTAAAATCTTGGTCAACCAAACCATTAACTGTTTTAAGGAGGTATCGTTTTGTTCAGGTGATTAGTTGGAAATTGTTTTATTAATAGTTGAATAGCTTAGTTGGGGTAAAAGTTTATGGACAGTATGTAGAAAATGCAGGTTAACAGAGAGGACTGAAATATAAATGTTTTAGGACATTGTTTTGCGTCACGCCTTATAACAGATAAAAGACTCTTTGTTCAAGACCATTGTTAGAGATACGTAAAAATTTCCAGAATTTGCGCATTAATTTCTCCCTTATCTGCAAGTAACCATTTCCGGATTAAACCCTTTGCCCCTTCCCCACAGGCAGTCGAAATATCATCTCCTCCCTCGCAAATTATCTCCTAATACGCCAAAGATAAAATCAATTAAATATTTGTTTGATCCGTTGTCGCGGGGCTCCTAAAAGGTGTGGGGACCATAGGCCGGTGCCTACTCTGGCTTTTGGGTAATCCGCCACTGCAAGTAACATACATTTGTTCAGAAAATGTTCGGATATGCATTCTTTCATCTATGAATACTTTACTCCGATAATTTTTAACATCCGAGAGATGTCACGAAGGAAATCGTTGTACTGCACGCTACTTTAAAAAAATTAATTTGTATTTTCTTTCCACTAGCTAAAATTATTCTTATAAGTTTTTAAAAATCTGACGCATTTTAATGAAAGTAGAAAATAAATGATTTAACAAATAGCGTACTAAACGTTACCTGGCTATTTGTCATTTCCAAATTATTATTATTATTATTATTATTAATTATTATTATTATTATTATTATTATTATTATTATTATTATTATTATTATTATTATTATTATTATTATTATTATTATTATTATTATTATTATTATTATATGTTTAACTTAGTCTTTATAAAAATCATTGGATGAAGGTAACGAATGTTATCTCGATGTAAGGTATTCTTTCAGTCTGGTGCATCGATCAAAAATTCGCAATTGGTACAGAAAATATCTTCCAAAGAGGCAATCAGACATTGGTGGAGGGAGATCCTGAGAAAACCCCGGCAGCTTTCTCATTCACCCATATTGGCCGCTTCCGAGAATCGGACCCACGCGGATAGCGTGAAATAGTAGTGATCGTATAAGGCTTTAGACCTCCTGGTCACCCGGGGAATCCTGACCTCGGCAATGATTAACTCTGAAATCACTATATTGATGCTAATCTACTTTTCCGTATTGTCTTAAAAGAATAAAATGAATAATATAATCTTTCATGTTGAGTTAATAAGACCTGAAAACAAATTACAGCTCAAATTTTAAATTAGATAATTTATCGGAATTAGAAACACAATATACAGAAAACATGAAAAATCTTGAAATTAATCATAATAAAATATAATTTACTCTAATTGCATAATATAGCAATTTCCCAAATACTTTCAATGAAGTTAAATAAAAAAGAATTAAACTTGTAGAGATATAAATAAATAGACTCAGAATCCTGATTCACTGTTAAACTTGTGGCATGTTGCAAATTTGACAATGCGACAAGCGTAATGTCTTCATATTGACGAATCATGCTAAAAATCCAATCATAAAACTAGACTTTTTCAACCCCCAACCCCCCATATCCCCCAAAAAAAACCCACAAAAGAAAACAAAAAACAAAACAAAAACACCCCTTTATCAATTGCAGATACTTCATACTTGCATAAATAAAGACCGATTGAGAAAGCATCTTGGAAGAAACACCAAATGAAGTACTCAGCGCGGAGTACACCGATTCATGGCGAAGACAATTACAAGTCTGCGAAGGTGGAACGATCAGGTGTGTACCGGTGTGTGAAGAGGACATGGAACTAAACCACATAAGAAAGACTAGATGATTCTAAAAAAAACATGGCTTCTCAAAAAAAAAAAACAGTTCATACTGAATAATTGTATTGTACGTAATCCCCGTGTTTTTCAACAAGTTCAATAATTGTTTAACAAACGTTTTTTTATGTAGAAAAGGATAAAAATGGAATAAGTACTCTGAAGTATATCAAAATACCGAATTTAGCACTTAATTTGAATCCCAATGGTTCATTTCGAATTCAACGTTTGATCTGAATCCCACAGGTTTATTTCTCCTTCAGGCAGCAGGTCCGTTAAAGGCTGAAATAAGAGACGGATCTGTGCCATGTTATGTATGTACGATATTTGTGTCTCTTAGCATTTAGTGAAAGGTTTAATTTGATTAGTACAAATTTTACTAGAATATCCTTATTACTCATTATTTTTACTAGACTATCCTCATTATTATTATTATTATTATTATTATTATTATTATTATTATTATTATTATTATTATTATTATTATTATTATTATTATTATTATTATTATTATTATTATTATTATTATTATTATTATTATTATTATTATTATTATTATTATTATTATTATTATTATTATTATTATTATTGTCTTTGTTGTTTTTGTTGTTGGAATAGTAGTAATAGTAGCAGTATTAGTAGTAATAATAACCATTTGACACAAAACGTTAATTTCTACACACGTAACTCAACCCAGCATAAAACCCAGCATCAAATAAAATAGTTTACTTATAGTATCCGCTTATTCTCATAGAGATAATACGCACGACAAGTAAATTATTTCTCCATGAGCACTAACTAAACAAGCGTGACTGTTTATCGTGAGACTTTAAGTTTAATAATGAAGTGAATCTGATCGTATCAAGAGGGTCATCATTGTTTAGCTTTCAGTATAGATAATTTATTTTCATCTATACATGGCAGTAAAGGTACCCATCACAAAGTTCTCATTTTCTTGATACACCACTTGGTCAAAGGTTAATCTCCAGAATTAATGGAATAGAGTCACATCATAGGCCTATAAATTGAATCATTTTCGGATTGAACATGAAGCCATTTAACAAAAACGTATCAAACAATATCATTTTTCTGATGTGTTTTCGTCATCTAATAACATAAAAAATAAAAATATCTTCGTATACGGTTTTAAAAAGCTTGAGGCTGTTATAATTTCTGCTGATATGAAAATAAATATAACTCAAAATAGTTCTTTAGAATAAATTTGAAACTTACAGGAGTGGCTAAGAGTGAGAATGTTGCATTAGAGTTTTGTCCATAATTATATCCAGATCTTGTAGAGAATGAGACTAATAATTCATCAGGGATTGTTTTCCGGGTTGAAATCGATAACTCATCCTTCTGCTGAGAAGACCTGACTTCAAGGAGTTATATAAATACGCAACAAACTTTTTTCAATGTCATCATGTTTTTTTTTGTCAAAGTAAGGCTAATTATTGTACACGTCCAGGAATTCGGTACACAGAAACAGTGATGAAACCTAAAAGATTACAGATGTACGAGTTTTGACAAAAGATAAGGTAGTTAATTATCGTTTGTCTGCTCTTGTTAGATAGGAATAGTTATTTTTCTCTATTTCAAAGCGTTATTGAAATTAAAATAGAGAAATACATTTTGCTCTATTGGTTGAAACATTTTTAATCCTGACATTTCCTTTAGATTATCTCTGTATCTTATTTTAGCACAAAGGAGTAGAACACAAGTGGTAATGTGAATTCAGCATTTGATGGTTACACAAACCATCCATGGGATGAAGGAAATAGGTAAGAATTAGTTTCGTTGTTATCCATGAAAGTGGAATGCCCAAACGACATCTGCATACCTATAATCTTTCATCTCATAGAAAAAACAAAGTAAATATAAAATTATTATTGATGCTGAGAAATGATGATATAAACGATGGTTACGACAATATTGACCATAGAGAAAAACATAGTTGAGTGGATGCATATTATAAGCCAATAAAGTTCATTATATAGTTTTCTTTAACATATCCGCTCCTAACGAACATAACTTGGGCTTGTGAAACACAAAAAGTGTCGTCTTTGATAACTCTTTAAAAATGAGTTTTCATTTCTAATATGCTACTTGTGAAAGTTTCACACAGTTGCTCTATATGACCTGTTCGCTTTGTATAATATCGGAAATTATTCTTTTGGTGCATACTGACTGCATACTGGCAAAGTATGGCTCGAAAGACATTCTTTGCAGTGCAAGAAAAACATACAGACAATTCATATAAGGTTTTAACTTCAAAGGCAAACATAAACCAATGCATCGGTTTCACCGTAAGCCAAGCTATACATTTTAACACTGTATAATCAGCTTCCAATTCCTTATGAATCCGACCATTTCTGCCTCTGAAAGTATTATGGCACATTTAAAATCCAGCTAAGAATTATTTAATTCCTTCATACATGACAATGTGCAAGCCATACCTTGCTCTCTCACGCAGGTAAAAAAAGTCAATATATATATATATATATATATATATATATATATATATATATATATATATATATATATATATATATATATATATATGTGTATATATATATATATATATATATATATATATATATATATGTGTATATATATATATATATATATATATATATATATATATATATATATATATATATATATATATATATATATATATATATATATATATATATAGATAATATCTGTGTGTGTATATATATAGGTGTATATATATATATGTGTATATATATATATGTGTATATATATATATGTGTATAT